TCTTCATGAAGAGTACAATGGCATTAAGAATGAATAGGTGGCAGATGAAAAAAGTTGCATTTAAATTATAGGACACAACCATTTGAATGGTACAAGTAGTTAAGCTAAGATCCAGTATTTGATCATTTAGTTTACCTTTCATTTTTAATATATTCTGTAAAAGCTGTCATATATCTGTTATTTTTAATTTACCAAATGTTTATACGAGACGTTACTATTTCAATTGTGATGAAAACAACCTATGAAGAAACTAGAATGCTTTCTGTTGCATTCATTTTTTAGTTCATCCTATTTAATATTTTGTTTATTTTTCAATATGTATATTCTAATTCTGTGCCAGGAAGATCTGGCGTTGATACCAAACAAGGAAAAAAAAGTATGTCTGTATATGTGTGTTTATATATGTATATATATATATGTGTATGTGTGTGTGTGTATAAATGCTGAATTCATTAAGCTAGGCAATCAGGTGAAATATTTTACTTCATTCTAAATTCTGAAATTTTGAAACATTCTTTATGTTTCTAGGTATTTGAATAATGAATGACATGTATTTATCTTGAAGATATGCTTTAATTTCTTCCATGAAATAAATGTAGCACAACCTGTCAGTTGTCCTCTATTAAATCTTACTGACTAGTATCGAAAATAAAACAGCTTTTGAAGCTTTTTTTTAATTTTGTTGAAGCCTTTGCTTCTTTTCTGTTATGGTTTATGGTTTTATAGTTTTCTGTTATGGGAGGTGGTGGAATCACTGACCCTGGGGGTGTTCAAGGAAAGGCTGGATGTTGTGTTGAGGGACATGGTTTAGTGGGAGCTATTGGGAATAGATGAACGGTTGGACTGGGTGATCTTTTAGGTCTTTTCCAACCTTGGTGATTCTATGATTCTATGGTTTCTATTAATTTTCTTTATGGAATTCATTTCTATCGGACTTCCTACAATTATAAGCTATTATAATATTACTTTTAGTTTACATTTAAAAATATTTTTTATATTCTTTGTTAAAAAAAGGAAATGTTGAATAAATATTAATTAAAAGAAATATCTTAAGATCCTTTCTTTTTGAAAAAATAATGGAATTTTGAAAGTTGAGAAATAGAAATCTCTGCTATTCTAGCCTTAAAGCTGGAAAGAAAACATCTTGAATTTTGATAGAAGCTCTGCTGCTGTGTTAAATAGCAGTGACACAGTTATTTATGCTTGTGCATGTGTGGCTAATAGAACTATGAAAGCAGGTCTTTTGATGTTTGTACTAGATCTTTGAGATTTATAAATATTAACATATTGATTATGAAGTGGTGCACTACATTTTCCTTAATTTGTATAATAAATAATAATTAATACAGCATTAATTATAACAATATAATTCTATCGCACGGATACAGAATGGGCTGCCCAGGGATGTGGTGGAGTCACTGTCCCTGGAGGTGTTCAAGAAATATTTAGAAGTTGTACAGAGGGATGTGGTTTAAGTGAGAAACATTGGTGACAACTGAGCAGTTGGACTGGCTGATCTGAGGTCTTTCCAACCCTGGTGATTCTATGATTCTATGATGTGGATTGATCTGAGCTGATCACTGTGAACTCTTGCAACATGAGTAGGAATTCAGGCTCATCAGCACCCTGTTCTTAGTGAGCTCTGTACTACGTTATTTTTATGATGAATGGACGGACATATTGTTAGATGGAAATCATTTTGTACAGGAAAAAATACTATTTTCAAGTTTTAATTAGGGGCTTTTCACTTATTTGCACTTGAAAAATATTCTTTCCCTGTGATAAATCATCTAAGATGATGGAACTGTTGGGATACGACCTCTGGAATGCTTTAATTCTGATCTCTTGGTCCTTTTTTTTAATGTATTTTTCAGTTTGGAAAGCCAATCAAAATGCTTATTTCTGGAAGAACTATGTTTTGCGTCTATAAACGTAATATTTACATTTATAGAAAATAAAATCTGTTCACAGCAAAGAAGATTTTTTTCTTTCAATAGTTTAATTACACTGAAAAGTGAAATTCTGTATACTTTCTTCAGCTTAGCATACCAAGATCATTTCGAGCTTTGCCAAAAGACAAAGTTTTTATCATTTAATTTTTGAACTGACAGTTTAGACATACTAATCGTGATGCATGCTGATTTTAAAGTTGCTTTTAAGAACAGCAAAATGACACTGATGAAAAGGCTCTTGTTATTTCATTTTGAGAAGGTGAGATCTCTGCCAGAAGAGGGAAAAGGCACTTTGTGTAGTTGTATTCCAGATGTTACAAAACACAATATCTTAGTTAGATTTGACACACCCAAATAGCAGCATTTCCGATTTTTTCCACTGTTAAGTGGAAGATTTAGCTCATCCTGATGTTCACTGAAAATATTTCCATTTAGTGTTTTTTATTGCTAGTTTTTATCTTACTATTGATCAACTGCAGAGTTGAAGAATTTTTTTAAATGAAAACTTCTATTCATAAAATTCCTTATAGCAAGCATTACGAGTCTCAGATTATTTTGCATTCTGTTTTATTCTCTTCAGTTCTTTGAATTCTTCCCGAAATTTATCAGCCTATACATATGTTGTATCTAGATTGGGAGATTTTAGGGCTAGTTTGTGTTAATTTTGCTAAGCTTATATACAGTTATTGTTCTAAGGTGTTATAGGTCTTTAGGATCTGTAATACCTGAGCCACAGGCAAGGAGAACCTTTTTGTATCTCTTGAAAAGCAGTGACTTTAACATATCCTTCCTGGTTACAGGCTACTTTGTTAATGTCAAAAACTTTGTAGTTAACTACAGTAAAACAAAAGGCCATAGCTAATGCCCTATGACCACTCATTTGAAGTTAAGCTGCATTTTATACACTTTCCATTAAGCTCAGAGCTTACAATAGTCCGTGGACACGAGCCATAAATGAATTATTAATGTCATAAAATAGTAATGCCATTTTGTATTTTGATTTTGGAATATAATTTTCACTAAGGTAGCAAATGCTGAACTTTGCATTTAATACATGTCTCCTTATCCACAGTTGCATTCTAATTAAAAATGAGAATAAAAAGAACTGGACTTCTGTATAAAGGCATCCATAATAATACTGGAACTAATTGGAAACAGACTTTGAAATTTTGTAGAATTTAAATTAGATAACTCATTTATCATGTGAGGGTTAGCATTTTTCATAATCATTTTGTGGTAATCATTTAATGACTACGCTAAATTAAGTATTGGCTTTGGAAAACACAGATAATTACTGTTATAGATCACCATGTTTATCTACCTTTTAAGGTTTATACACACAGAATTCTGTAAGAAAATATTAGTATGCTGTTGCTGTCTATCAGAAGTTTTGAATCATTCAGTAGTCATTCAGGTGTGTTTCAAGAAGTCTGGATAGCAGTGTCACTGAACAACCATGTCCTATGTCACACAAGCTGAAATGCTACAGATGACTGAAATAATTTTTTAAAGCAACAGTAGATAGCTCAATATTTAACTTAATTAATATATTCCCTTTTCAGTGGTTTAACAAATTGCATCAGGTCATGCATTTAGGGGAAAAAAAAATGTCAGTCATATTGAATGGTGGACAGCATTACGTTCCTATTGGAAGAGAGAAAAAGGGTGTTTTTGAGTTTTTTCTAAATAAAAAACAAATATTTTTAAACATATAAAAATTGTTCTTCTGAAACAATGCATTTTTCTTTCCTAAAGCTATTAAAATGCCTTTCTTATAGCAATTTGGAAAGGAAGAAAAAAAGTTTTACACTGAACAATCTTTTAAATTGTGTTAATTAAAAATTGTTTCTTTTGTGAAGCTAACAGGCACCAATAATCTTAGCTTGCTCATAGGTTGTTGCTTTGCTATAATGGGAAGATTAATGTCACTCTTTTTTTATGTAAGACTCCAAATGTGTTATGGGACATCAAAGTCAAGAGTCTTTCTTTTAAATAGATCAAAAGTGGCTTACCTGATATTGTGAAATAGCTTGTTAACACTAGCAGTTTTTAATGCGTGATGCACTGGAAATGTTAAAAGTAGATGTTGAGTAGATGTTAAAAGTAGATGTATTTGTGGCTTGAGATGACTCTTGCTTCAGTAGAAGTACTGTATTTAATTCATGTTTGTCAAGCTTTACATGATGTTATATTCTTTTCTCCTGGCTGTTGCTGTATTCCATCTTCATTGTTGCTGCTGCTGCTTGGCAGACACAACAGTTACAGAATAGATGCTGTGAAATGCTCTGGTTTTTGGTTCATTATTTTTTTCTTCTCTCTGTACTTAGGAAAAATTTATTCAAGTACACAGCTGTTTTTCTGGCTCTGGGTTTCTCTAACTATTGTAAAAGAAATCATGTTTGACCAGAGAAGCATAGTGGAAATTCTTTTTACAATGTTTCTTAGAACTGACGTAAACGAACGTGTTTTGACTATGATTAATGAGTATTCTGTGACTCAAATGGAAGAGAATACTAACATCAGTTTTATCAGGAACTTGTGCTTTCACAGTCAGTGGAAATCCTCCATAAAAACTGGTATATCAGAAAAGAAAGCTCATACCTTGATTTTATATTCTGAAAGCAGAATTCACATTTGTCTATTCCCACTTCAGTCTTGTATCTTTTGCACACTGTGTTCCATTAATATTTTTCTTTTCTGGAAATGAATGACTCTTAACAGCAGTATTGTCACGTTAGTTAAATGAAGATGCTGGCTACTGTAATGCATTGGTCTAACTGTTAAATAACTTCTGGAGTCTGATTGTAGATACGTTCTGTTATGTTTGTTGCAGTCTTACCTCCGAAATTCATTTTCATATTAAATGCTTCTCTTTATGGAATCATGCTTGTCAGTCAATTTAATTGAAATGCCATGGTGACCTTTATTTGAAATGCTCTGAACTTCCTGTGGTTTTTGGAAAGTCTTTTTTCTTTGATTCCAATTAAAATTATTTATAAATTATCAGCTGCATACTAATTAACCTTACAAACAATATATCTTTTGCAGAGGTAGTTCAGCTGAGTTTGCCAGAAGATCAAAAAATAAGCACTACTGCAGCAACAGTAGGACAAAGTGCTGTCTTAAGTTGTGCCATCCAAGGCGTTCTGAGACCTCCCATCATCTGGAAGAGGAACAATGTCATTCTGAATAACTTAGATTTGGAAGATATCAGTGTAAGTAAAAGAGTTCTATTTAATAGTTTGTTACAAAACCTTTGCTCGAAGAACTGAGAACCGATGTTTAACTAATTCCTACTCAATATGTTTTCAGTCATATGGCTATATATAAGGAAAACAAAACAAAATAATAGCAATCAAATGACTACCGAACTGTTTTTCTTTGAAATAGTTTGCAAAACTCTTGGTGTTAAAAATAATGAAACCATTTCACAGACCAAATGTTTAAAGGTAGTAGGTACGACAGCATAAATGTATGAAGACAAAACTGCAACTTGGTATTGTACATTCAGCACTATATAGGCTTCAAATATTTAGGAGAAGTTAATGTTTTAAGGAATTATTATTTAGCACAAATAGGTCATTGTAATAAAGCACAGTTCATTGTAACGAAGTGTAAATAGATCACATTTAAAATATTATCTTCTCATATTTGAATGAAAATATACTTTTACCTTAGTACAACTCCTACTACAAAATTGGTTGTTTTGAGCATTCCTCCGTGTATCCAGCAGTCTGAAGGAATTTCCACTGAATGTCAGTACAACTTCTAAATCTATTGTTAGGAAAGTATCTGCTACCTAACTTTGCCATGACCTCCAAATATGGAGGGAAAAAAATGAAACGAAAAACAGATTTTATGGTAGAGCTCTCAAAACAAGTTTTCAGCTGAGTTTTATTTCCTTGTATGTTCAATTTGCTTTGGCCATCATCTTATAGTACAAGAATTACAAAATGTGGACCAACATAGGGTTACACTTGCTCGGACTAGTATGTGTCTGAGTTCACTGCAGCTCTTCTTTGTGTAGAGTATCATCACAATCAAATATTTCATTTATTTTTTTAGTGAATGCTTTTATTTCTAAGGTGGCATTTGTACTAACATGGAGCCTTCATTTTGTTTTACCTGCTGATTTTATATAAGATTTGTTCATAAATTTAACTCCTGTGGAGTAATGCTTTATAAAATAAGGGGTGGTTTCAAAGCTCAGCTCACTTGAGCGGTAGTGTTTAGCCATTGCAGAGGCTTAGGATAAAACCAGCGTGCTCTGAAAAATTCCTTTTATATACTCATTAGTTTAATTATTTTAATAAGTATAATCATAATTAGATGGTATCCCGAAGTGCATTAATAAAGCTTGGAGGATCCTAGGATTCCAATGAAAGGCCACAAAGGTAGTAAGGGGTGTAGAGCATCTCCTGTATGAGGAAAGACTGAGTAAGTAGAGTCTGTTCAGATTGAGGAAAAGACTGAGGGGATTGGATCAATATTTATAAATATCTAAAGGGAGGCTGGGAGCAAAAAGGTGGGACCAGGCTCTTTTCAGTGGTATGCAGCGATAGGACAACATTTAATAGCCTAAAACTTGAACATAGGAAGTTCCATACAAATATGCAGAAGAACTTCTTTATGGTAAGGATGATGGAGCCCTGGAGGAGGTTGCCCAGAGAGAGGTTGTGGAGTCTCCTCCTACGGCGATATTCAATACCTGTCTGGATGCCTAACTGAAGGTTAGGGCAACTGAGGTTGAAGGGAACCTGCTTTAGCAGGTGGATTGGTTTCAGTCTCTTGAGGTCCCTTCCAAACCCTGCAGTTCTGTGGCTGATATTCAAATGTGTCTTACCCTTACTCAGCAGTTTCTTTTCTGCAGAATTTTTGAGCATTCCGTAAATATTCGTGATGGTCATAAATAATGATTTTGGAGTTCTTTCCTCACCACTTGTAATTAGAATACATGCAGTGAGCTGTAGAAATAGGAACACGTACCTACATAGGGAGAAATAAAAGGGAAATGAATGGAAATGATGAATGTAACAACTTCGTTTTGGTTTGAAACGTTCTACTGAATGTTTTTGCAAACATGAAAAGAGCAAGTGTTTTCAAAGCTTGATACAAACATCTTGAATATGAAAATTGAAACAAAAAAAGACAAAAAAAACAAAAATAAAGCAAAAAAACACAGAAAATATTCCAGTAGGGAGTGCACTAGTGAACCACTTGGAAATGAAGTTGAGCCTGGGAAAGTGCAGAAGAAAGTTGTTGTTTTATAAAGTTCATCTTTGTGTTTCCTACAACCTAAGTTACTAATTATTTTTTTTTTTTACTTTAATTGGTTATAAATTAAGCTAGTTTTCCAGTAGATAAAGACTAATTTTCCTGTAATGGTAGTAAGGAGGCAGTCTTTACCTGCAAATTTTTTCATTCATGTTACTCCCCTTTTCTTTCCCTCTCTCTTTGATATGGAGAATGAGCAAGTGCTGACTGGGAGCTTGCTTATTAGCTAGGGCCAGCCTACCGTGCTTCTTTGTTAGTTATAACAGCTGGAATGCAGTCCAATATGGATTTTTTTGAAGACTCACAGAGTGCCTAATTTGAAGTCAGTTTGAAGTGGTGTTTGGAAATCAAAAGCTAAGGTAGAAAATTAAAATTGCTAGAATTGGCAGAATTTTTGTACATTCAGTAGGAGAGAAAGGCCATGTGACAATGTACTGGCTTAACAACCATAAACATAAGCAAATAAATAGACCAAGCAAAGAGGTAATTCCCAAAAGAAGGTCGACAAATTGCGCCCTGAGAGAATTTGCAAGACAGCTACAATATGCTGTGGAAGTAAAAGCAGATGAGGTATTGCTCATCTCTGGAAAAAAACTTAGTATTCATACCTGCACAGAGTGGAATTATTTAAGAAGTTTGGGGGTGAGCTCTGCGTGTATATTTTGTGTATGGCTACAGCAGAAATGAAACAGAGTAAATTTTTCCAGTGACAGAAGTAATAGTTCTGAAGGTGAATGTATTCATCGTTTCTTTATAGACCGTAAGAAAATCATAGAAAAATGGAATACTTGAAAGTGCTTTTTGAAGAAGACCGTTAGATCTTAGTCCATTAATATTAATAATTATGAATCAAAGGGACTGACAGATCCAATATCCCTGAGGTGAGGCATTAAAAATATGTAGCACTTGAATTAATGTAGGTGATACTGATCTGATATGCAGATAAGCCAACAAACAGTGGAAGAAAGAATTGATGGAGCCTGGAAACAAAGCACGAACAGAAACAATAAAAAAAAGATTGGGCATAAAAACATTAACTGGGTCCCAGAGTCTCTTTTCTTCAAAATCTGTTTTATGCATTCTACTGTTTGCACTGATTTGAACTCACACTTTTTATTTCCTTTAAGAAAAAATTCTCCTTGTATTTCTTCGGTCGTTCAATAATGTTCTGAAATTAGATTATCAGATACTCTTACAACTTCACATTTATTTCAGGGTTCTTATGTAGTTATTATTCAGTATCTGTTCAAGCAATGTAGTAAAAATAAAACCTTCAGGAGAAGAAAAATAATTTGACAAAACTGAATTATTTTATATTTCAATATGGGAAATTATGTTAGTACTTAAATATTGACTTGTAAAGAACAAATGCAGAGGGAATATAGCGTGTTTCAGTTTGTTGCATTTTAACCACCAAAGAATGTGTTGTGCTTATTCAGACGATTTTAAGCATTCAAATGCTTTAAGCCCTTGTATAATTTCAAATGTCTACAGAGGAAATGTGTTCCGTGATTTGCTGTGACTGTGTTATAATCTAAAATGTTTGGTTAGCGCTGGGAATTATCAATTTACTCAGCTATATAACAACCACATGTGTGCATCTGAAAAATAATAATCTTGTGTAAGTTGTGGTATTGTTTTGGGAAAAAAATAAGTGACAAGGATTGATCTAGGGAGGCAGATAAATACTTTTTTTTTTTTTCCAGCAAAATGCATGAGATCATGTTACTGGAAGTGAGCATATATGGCACCAATCAGATTAAGTAGTAGTGACAATGTGATTTTGTAAATCAAGGGAAATGATAATTCGTATAGTGTGGAAATTAAGTTTTTGTACTGTGCAATTGTCAATGCAAGTTAAATTATTTGTTTTGGGAGTGACAAATTCAGAACAATATGTCTTTGACTTCCAAGGATTGAGAACACAAATATTATTTAATCACTGCTTTTTGAAAAATAGAGTAATTTAGAGAATTCTATCTAGCCACAAATGTATGGTTAAATATAAAAATGATATGATAACATTTAATAGCCAATTTTAGGAGTCTTCAGTGCCCCTAAACTCTTCTCATTGTATAAGTGATTAAACTTTATGAAAGTTGTGTGCCTTGCTATTTGTTTTTTTACATTTAAACTGATAAAAGTCAGGTGATCAGCATTAACCTGAATTAAACCATGAAAAATTTTGTGCCTCTGCAAATTTTACTTTATTTAAATTGCAATTCATTTGTGCTACGACTCAGTATGGACTCAGACTTTTTACTGATATTTTAGTATGCATCTATAAGGGCTTTCTCTTGCCGTGATCCTGAATCTTAAATTTGTGATTTTTCTTTTCAATTTGCTTGAGTTATATACAAACTATTATTCATTGCAGAACAAAGTTCTTATTTATGGGAAAATTAAAAATAGCAGATTTTTTTTTCCCCAAATGCACTGCCTAATGTTTTTCTCATATAAATTCATTTGCTTTTAAAATGCTTTCTATATTTCATTTTACTTTACTATTTTTTGAATTTTTCCTTTAGTTTTGCCTTCAGCTGTTCTCCTATTCCTAGCACTTCTCTTACAAGCAGTCTGCCCTTTGTTCTTACATTTGTACAAGATCTACTTAAATGACTTGCTCACCAATGAAGTTTAACATCTGCTAACATTCGTAAATTAGTAGATTTTTAAAGGAGTGTAGATTGATCTACTTTTCAATGAAAACTAATGATCTCTTTCTTTAGACTACCTTAATTGAAAACATGTAATATTTCTATTTGACAGGCAAAGTTTGTGGTTTTGAAGTTACGTATAGGTTATCTTTCTTTCAAAACATGTCATTTTTCATTGCATTAAAATTAATTTCCAAATTAAACTTCTACTTTTGATATCATGTTCAAGTCTACATCCTAGGTTGGCCAGCAGGGCAAGGGAGATTATTGCCAGCGTCTGCTCA